CTCCCCCCCCCCAAAAAAAAAACCATACTGGAAAGAGCTCGATGGAAGAATAGAAAACTTTAGAAGTAGGTATGAGAAAGTAAAATGCTATACTGTTAGCCAAATACTGGGAGCCTACAGCCTTCATTCATGTTGTTGGCTAAGGAATCAATTTCTAGTTAAACTTCTCTAATACCAAATTGAATGTAAATACAGGAATCACAATGTAAGCTTCATATTTTCTATTATTAAGTTGTCAGAGAAGTCATGACTTTTTTACTATGCAAAAATGCATTATGACTTTTTGAACAACCCAATAATTTGTATTTATAAAGGAAAACAGTGGGTCCGGCAGGTAGCGTAGTGGTTAAGGGAGCTGGACTCCCACATGGCTGACAGCAGTTCGAGGTCCAGACCTGATGGCTTGCTTTCTCACTTCCTCTCTCTCTCTCTCTCACTTTGTCCCTCTCTGGTCAAATTAAAATAAGTAAGTAAAGAAATAAAAGTTAAATAAAATTAATCCTTAAAAAAAAAGTTTAAAAAAAAGGAAAACAGTGAAAGTAATTTTAATATACTTGATTTAACAAAATATAGCCAAAATATTAACACACAATAATCATTTTAAAATTGAAATACTCAGCTATTTTATAATACTTCAAAAATCTAATGCTGCTTTAATTTACATTGTTTCAACCTACACTAGTCACTTTCCAAGCACTCAAGTATCAGTCTCATAGACACATAAGGCTAGTGGCTAACACACTGGAGAGTACAAACAGAACATTGTCACCAAAGAAGGTTCCATTAGACAATCCTATTCTAGAACATGCTTTCAGTAGAGGGTGAAAGAAAGCAAGAAAAAAGAATGCAGAACTGTATAGAAAAAGTTATGTGTCTGTGTATTGTGATCATGCTACCACTTAGCTTCTCCTTATTCGCTGCAATTTGGTCTCAATCTCCACTTCATATACTCACTTTTTTGTAACAGATTTCACAAGGTCACAATAACCTGGGTATAAGTGGATCATCTCTTTTTTTTAAAATTCTGTCTCTTAAATCTCTCCCAAATGTTAATTCTTTCTTCAATCACCTTTCCCATTATTCTAGTCTACCTAACCTGGTTGTCGTCATCTTTTTTTTTTTTTTTAATTTTGCCAGAGGATGCATGCACCTGCCAGCAAGAGACAAAAAGAGAGGGAGAGGGATGGGACCAGCAGTTGGCGTAATGGCTATGTCGCTGGACTCCCATGTAGTCGACCGCGGTTCACGTCCTGGACCCGGTGGCTTAAAACTCACACTGGGCGCGTATGCGTGCGTGCCCAAGATCCCAAGAAGAGAATGGAGGAGAAGGGATTGCGGCGTGGCCATCCCCCCTGGGGGGTGATTTCTCGCTTTCTGTCTCTCTGTCTCTCTCTGTCTGTCTGGGGAGCGCACGCTACCTATAGCAAAAACCTCTCAAAAAAAAAAAAAGAGAGAGAGGGAGAGGGAGAAAGCATCCCCCAGTGTGACATTGTCATGGCAAAATCCTTTCTCTTCCATTTCTCCATCCTGTCAGAACCTTGAGCATGTATGCCCAGCATTCAAGACACAGGGGCAGGCACTAACTGCACGGCTGTTCATGGGATCCAGCTGCCTTAAGTGCTAGGCCATGGAGCTGATCTGATCTGATTAGCTCTCACTTAGATTAATTTAAAGTTTTTAACTAATTTCCCTGAACCAGTTTTAGCCCTGTTCAACTATTTCTCAACAATCTTCCTAAAAGATGTATCTTTTTTACTTTTTGTTTATAAGCCAAAGGGTATGTGTACTTCAGAGACAGAGCAAGAGGAAGAGGGAGAAAGCACTTCCTAGTGGAGTATGTTCACTGTACAATCCCATTTCTTCACCATATGAGCATGCATGCACTTGTGCCCAACTTGTTTTTCAAGCCACTAGCCAAGAAGTTCACTAACTTACAGAGTTATAGAAAAATGAAGGACGGGGGCCAGTAGGTGGCATGGTGGTTAAGGCCGCTGGACTCCCACATGGCTGACTGCAGTTCTAGTCCTGGACCTGGTGACTTCTCACTCCTCCCCGCCTCACTTTGTCCCTCTCTGGTCAAATTAAAATAAGTAAATATATAAAGTTAAATATTTTTAAAAAAAAAGAAAGGAAGAAAAATGGAGGACAAAAGACACCAAAAATACAAGAAAAATTCCCTAAACCAAAAAATACACATTTCTAGATCAAAAGAACCCATGCATACTGAAGTAAAAATAACCCACATTGAAGTATATCATATAATTTTAAGGATACAAAAGAAATAACAAAAGATTCCAAATGCTTTGAGAGAGGAAAAACCAAATATCATAAAAAGAATAGAAATCAGAAGCACACCAAAATAACAGTAATTCTGTATAGCAGATGACAACAGGAAATGCCTTCAAATAACTGAAAAAAAAAAAATCTATCTATTCTCAGCCAAGTCATCAAGTCAAAGTAAGTTATAACAAAGGTATTTTCAGACATACAAAGTAAGAAACAGGTTCATCCCAAAGAGAGAATAGAAAATCTGGGAATCAGGGAGTTGAATGCAATAAAACTGTCCCAGGATGCCCCAGGATAACAGCTATGCATAAGGAGCAGAGAAGACAAGTCCAGACTGTCAAATGTGATATATCTGAACATTTGGAAATAATAACTTTTCTGAGATGCGGCATTTAAGAAAAAAAGAAAACTGGAAAAAAATTACTCTAGAAAACAAAAACCTACAGGAAAAAAAAGCATAGTACCAATATAATTGTAATAACATTAAAAAAAATTTACTACCAAAAATATATGGCATAATTAGAAAGATCTGGAAGAAAGAAGGTAGTATATAAGAGACCTAAATATTCATCTACTCTAATAAAAAGCAATGCCTCTAACTGATAAGTCAAGAGTCAGCAATACAAGCTTACTTAAAATATGGAAGTAGGTACAAAAAAAAAAAATCTAAGAGAATGATAGTTAAATGGTGGACCCCCAAAAAGCGTCCACTCTTTGGAAAAAAGACCTCTGCAGATGAAATTAAAAATCTCAAGATATATCACCTTGGGGGACCAGGAGATGGTATAATGATCGCTGGACTCTCACATGACCGACCAAAGTCTGTGTCCCAGACTCGGTGGCTTGAAATATGTCAGGACCCAATAACAAGAAAAACTATAATTCTATAACTACTAGTAACCTATGTAATTTATTAAGAACTACAATGGCAGCTTTCTAAGGTTCCCACCCCCAAAAGTCACTATAGTTGCATGATAATATTTAATAAAAAATATTTTCTTCTTCTAGGCCAGCAGATGTCATAATTGTTATGTTGCTGGACGCCCATTCAGCAGTTCAAGTCCTGGATCCAGCAGCTGAAAACTCAAGCCAGGCACTTGTGCATATGTGCCCTAAACCCAGAGAGGAAATTGGAAGAGAACTGCAGCGTGGCCATCCCCCCACAAGGGTGATTTTTCGCTTTCTTTCTCACTGTCTCTGTCTCGGAAGTGAGGGCACACACCCTACTGCAAAAATCTCTTAAAAAAAATTATTCTTCATAATACAGATATCGAAAACAGTAACTTTTTTTCACTAATCTCATACCAGCACACTTAACTTTAAATGACTAGGCTTTATTTTTAAAATATTCCTATGTGGAATATTTTCTAATATATGTCTACTTTTTGCCTATAACTTTTCAAGAATACTTTAATGGCTTTCTTTCCTACTGGATTATTGCTCTCTTAAGCTTATCAACCAAAACAAGTTCCAAATTTTAGGTTATATTTTCAGATTCTTCAAGGGATTGTATTAAAGAAAAAATACTTTTGAGACATCATGCTCCTAAGAAACATATGAGTGAGAGAGAGATAGTCTTGAATACTTGAGATTATGGTTGAAGTTAAAATTCTAAAAATTAACCAATAATACCTCTAATTTTACCACCTAAACATCTACAGAGACCTTCACAGTGGAGAAGACAAAGATCAGAAATAAAAAGATCAATAGCTTATGGGTAGTTAACTTGCACCATAACATTTAAGGGTTTTTTTCTCCCCTTATAAGTTTGTCAAGTCTTTCAAAATTATGGCTTTCAGAAGTAGCAAATGAAGTTTGGAGTCTTTTTGAATAGGTAAGATGCAGTGATCCTAAAAATAAATGTAATGAATTACATTACTCATTATCTTAAGGGACTTCAAAAAGTTCCTGAAAAATAAAATTAAAGTATATACTTATTTTGGTGCCAAAAAAAAAAGCGAAATCAATGAGCTTTTCATAAATGCTTTTTCTATAAACTTTCTGAAGACCCCTTCATATGTACAAAGAACCAGGAAATCAAGAATTCAAAAGATATTAAAACACAATTCAATAAAGACAACTTTAAAGTCAACTTCCTTTAATGTTTGAAAGTTATTAGTACATTTTTTACGTAGCAAATTCTCTAAAACAGATGCTATTCCACACACAACTTACCTTTCTCGTTAACAGACTTTTCCGTCTCATTCCACAAGCCTCTAGTTGTAACCTTCCTCTCAATGCTAGTTCAATTAACATACAGCCACGTAATCCAGATGATATACAGTCATTCCAGAATGATGTGTAACCCTATTTAAAAGAAAAAGAAAAAAGCTAATTTACCTTGAATTCAGAGTCAAAAACAGAAATATTTTCAGGCAAAATAATTTATGGTACCTTTTAGTTCTGATGCTTTGCCATAATACAATACTGAAAAAGTAATATACATTACTAACCTAGGGTTATGGGGCTTATGGCTTCTCACTACTTATCTTTCCATACAGATTAACAATTTTCGAGGTCAGAGGTTCAGAAATATAAGAAGCCCATTCTAAACTTGAGACTAAACTAAGTGTTTATTAGACTCAAATCACAAGTTCCAGGGAACACTCAGACTTCAGACTGTAGAGGCTTACTATTAGTATATGTAGGCAAGAAGCTTAAGAAAGCCTATAAATACAGCCTATTTAGAATTAGACCATTCTTGGACCAGCAGATAGCGTAATGGCTATGTCACTGGACTCCCACGTAGTTGACCGTGGTTCGAGTCCTGGACCTGGTGGCTTAAACTCACACCGGGCGCGTGTGCGTGCGTGCCCAAGATCCCGAGAGGAGAATGGAGGAGAAGGGATTGTGGCGTGGCCATCCCCCCGGGGGGTGATCTCTTGCTTTCTGTCTCTCTGTCTGTCTCTATCTGTCTGGCACACGCGCCCTATAGCAAAAACCTCTCAAAAAAAAAAAAAAAAGAAAATTTAGAATTAGACCATTCTAGCAGGTGGTACAGTGGTTATGGCACTGGACTTCCACATGTCTCACTGTGGTTCAAGTCCTAGACCTGGTGGCTTGAAACTCACTCTGGGCATGTGTGTGTGTGCAGGCTCAAAATCCCGAGAAGAGAATGGAGAAGGGTGGTGTGGCCCCCCCCCCCCCCCAGGGGGTGATTTCTCACTTTCTATCTCTCTGTCTGTCTGGCGAGAGCACACGCCCTATAGCAAAAACCTCTCCAAAAAAAAAAAAGAATTAGACCATTCGTTTGGTCATTGCTGTTATAATTAAAATACAAGGTTAGGAACCAGCAGATGGCATAATGGAAACATCACTGGACTCCCATGCAGTCACCCACGGTTCAAGTCCTGGACCCGACAGCTTAAAACCCACCAGGCACATGTGGGGGTGCCCAAAATCCATAGAGGAGAGTGGAGGAGAAGGAACTGCAGCGTCACCATCTCCCCAGTGGGTGATTTCTCACTTTCTGTCTCTCTCTGTTTCCAGCAAATGCACATGCCTAATAGCAAGTATCTTTTTTTCTTTTTTTTTTTTTTAAAAAAAAAAAAGGCTAATTCTGGAAAAATAGAAAAACACATGTGGATCCATGAACAGAAAGGATGAGTATATGCCTAAAATTTTGAATAACAGTAAAATGATCAGAAATGCCAGACCTAAGGAGGTAGACAGATGCCTACAGACCTGGGACTGGTAGTTAATCAAGCAGGTGAAGTCAGAGCACTCTTTCGGAGCAAATACCTGGAGTTGTCCAAGTTACAAAGCCACGAGCTTTAACAGCAGGGTTGCCAGCTATCAGTTTAAAATATCTAACTCTCATAAGAAAGCAGAAGCTGTAAATTATTCTAGTTAAGACTCAGAAAATATAATTTTGATAGTAAAAGCAGGACAATCAGATCTCTGAAGAATGGAGGACCCTGGAGTAGGGAAATCTGAACCCTCAGATCTGATACTTTCCCAAGGTTCTGCCCTGGTACTTTGCCAGGTCAGAGTGGTTGACCCATATTTCAGAAGACGTATGACCATTAAGGTCCATGGCGCTTCATTACGATCGCAGGGACTTAAATTAGCCTCATGAAGCTACCACTCCTGAGAGTGAGAGCTCTGAGAAAATGAGAATTTAGATTAGGGGAGCTATACGGAGATAAACAAAAATATCAGTTTAAAAAGGCCAATTTAAATGTGAGGTAGGGAACACTGATTGGATTTGAAGGAATCCTTTTAAACTATTAGGAGTAATAACTATTAGGAGTCTAATCAAATTAAGGCTATGAAATATTTAACAAAGTGATGAAATAAAACCAATCATTTATAGAGGTTAGATAAAAATCCATGGCTTGTGCACTCATGACAACTAACGGCCTACAAAGCCTAAAAATGGATTCCATAGATTCTTAGTTTTGACTAGTTGTCAAAATGGAATTCCTAGGTGGATCTCCACAAATTCTAAAGAGAGTACATTTCATGAAGCAGTAGAAGATGTGGTCATCTCTACAACCTGGAAATTCCACCTGTACTTTCAAGCTCACATCTGATAGCGGAGAAGTAAATATATCTCGAGCTCAACGGTTCCCAGGATAAAAGCACACCCTGAGATGTTAGCAAATGGGGTCTTTAATAACAGACAATCAGTGAATGGCTTTAGGCATTACCACTGAAAAGATACATATATAAATAATTTTTAAAATGTTTTAACAAAACTGAATTCACATGGAAAAGTAGGTAAACAGGTATGGACAGTTCTGTACCAAAGCTGTTAGGACTCACTGCACTATTTCCAAGATAAATGAACCCAAGGGAACACACCAAAGAGCAGACTAGACCAGTAAGTAGTTGGCCTCCTAAAACTGACATTATAAACGCATGATCAAAAATCAATGGTAGGGCCCAGCAGGTGGTATAGTAGTTATGGCACCAGACTCCCATGTGGCTGACCGATGTTCAAGTCCCAGTCCTAGCAGCTTGAAAATCACACTAAGCGCATGTGCACGTGTGTCCAAAATCCTAGGAGGAGAATGGAGAAGGGATTGCAGCACGGCCATCACTCCTGGGGGGGGGGGGGGATTTCTCACTTCCTCCCACTCTCTCTTGTCAAGCACACGCATCCTATGGCCACCAAAAAAAAAAAAAAAACAAATCAATGGGAGTGGGTAATATTTATAAAGGACATGATTAAATAAAAATGAGGAAAAAAAAGATGTAACTGGATCAGACAGCAATGCCACACTTATGAACAAGAATAAGTATCTTGGGGAAAAGCAGTAGACTGGGAGAAAGCCAAATAGTTGGCCACAACCTAGGCTAACAAGCTTCTGGGTGAATCCACCCCACAGTGAGACAGACAGCAGCTAGGAAGAAAATCAGGAGCTAGAAAACCAGAGTTTTGGTCTTGTCAAGTACTTAAGAGTTCTATAGTCTTTCAATTTGTTTAGTGCTAACCTTAAAGTTATGGTCTTTATCAATTAAAACAGCATTTTTAAAGCTTAGTATCTCTGAAATCAAGATGCATTTTTTAGGAGATGGCACCTTAAAGAATATATATAGTATTATAGCTATCGTGCTAACCTAAACTCATGAAGAAAGGCCTGTGGCATAGACCTCATAGGTGCAAGGCAATGAAGAAATAAAACTGGAGTTCAACGTGTCAGTTACTGAAGAGTACTTAAAACTTCGTACAAGACTGGATGACTGAATATCCAAATCCCAATCTACTACCAATCTGCCCAATTTCTCAGTGAAGATGATTTTACAAGGTAGATCAAGAACCATAATTCCTGGGGGAATCTATCCTTATACAAACTGCTAATTTCTATATGAAACAAATATAAGAACCACAGAATGGATATATATGCAAGGTATGAGTATGTTTCTGTGCAAGCAAAAATGTTTAATTTTTAGATTTATTTATTATTATTATTATTACTTCATTTGATGGGAGGTATGAAAAGGCAAGCCTCCAGGTCCAGGATTCAAACCACAGTCATCCATGTGGGAGTCTAGCACCCCAAACACCACGCCACCTGCCAATCCATCAAGCAAAAATCTTGCTTACACACACACACACACACACACACACACACACACACACACTTATATGAAAACTAAAAAGAAAGAAATATGTAGGAAGACTAGTAACCAGCAATATCAAACAATTTATGACTTGGTCCAAGGGCACAACAACCAGCTCATATCTGTAATCACAACATGAGAGGGTAAAGAAGAATCAGTGATGCTTATTATGGCCACTCAATGTATTTAGGAATGGTACATAGCTTGTACGCTCGGAAACCAATCATCTCAAACCCAACTGGGTTTAAAATTCTGCCACCAATAATACAGGGAATATCTTTATGGCGTCAGAAGGCTCAAAGTTCAAGAACACACTAAGGGAGGACTACTGGTTAATCAATTGGCAGATGAAGCAGCAGCAGCTGTACTAGGAATACCAAAAGCCACAGAACTTGGAAGATGGCCCCTACTCATTGTAGAAGAAATAACTTGGTCCTGAGAAAGGTTAGAAGACCACAAGAAAACTATTTTGGTGCTCCATAAGTTCAAGATCGTGATGAGAAATTATCAATAGTTTCTATATTCTAAAATACAAAGATGAGAAATGGCAGAGATATCCCTAGTACATCTGGTCATACAATACCCCCAAAGAATCCAGAGAAACACGATTTTATTGGCTCCTGGGCACCTACTATTAAGACCCTAATGGTCATCAAGTCAGCACCTTCGGGGGTCGGACGTGCCCAGGGCCAACTGAGATGCCTTCCAGACTCTTCATTTCTTTCACTTAGGTTTTCGGCGGGGTGCGAAGAGGATGGCAGGTGATAAAGCTGCAAAGCAGGATACAAAGGAGAAGTAACGTGAAGCCAAGAAGGCTGATGCCAGTGGCAAGGTTAAAAAGGGTGACCCCAAGGCTAAAAAGCCCAAGAAGGGGAAGCCCCATTGTAGCTGAAACCCTGTCCTAGTCCAGGTCATCGGCAGATACTCCCGGTCTGCCATGTATTCCAGGAAGTCATGTACAAGAGGAAATACTCGGCCACTAAATCCAGAATTGAAAAGAAAAAGAAGGAGAAGGTTCTTGCAACTGTCACAAAACCGGTTGGTGGAGACGAGTGATTTTCCTGAAGCAGCTGAGCCGTGGCTTGCTACTTGTAACTGGACCGCTGGTTCTCAATCGAGTTCCACTGCGTAGAACACACCAGAAATGTCATTGCCACCTCCATGAAAATTGCTATTAGCAAAGTAAAAATCCCAAAGCGCCTTACTGATGCTTACTTCAAGAAAAAGAAACTGAGGAAGCCCAGACACCAGGAAGGTGAGA